CTTATTTACACTTTCAGTTTCTCACACCAGAGAAACTATTTGGTATTTACACATGTGTGTCCTATTTATTTCACTTAAGAGTATGTACTCAATATGTGTCCATTTAGTTATAAATGTCTCTAGTTTGTTGTTCTTTTTAGCTGAGTAGTACTCCACTTTATAGAAAAATCACATCTTCTTTATCCAGTTTCCAGTTGATGGGCACTTGGGCTATATCCAAGCTTTAGCTATTACAAACTGTTCCACTATAAACATGGGTGTACATATATTGCTGTGGTATGATTCTTTTAATTCTTTTGGGAAGATACCCAGCAGGGGAATAGCTGGATCAAATGGGACCACTAGTCCTAGTTCTTTGAAGAATCTCCATACTGATTTCCACAGTGGTTGCACCAGTCTGCACTCCCACCAACAATGGAGAAGGGTTCCTTTCTCAGCATAACCCCTCCCACATTTGTTATTGGTTGATTTCTTGATAGCAGCCACTCTTTCTGGGGTGAGGTGGAATCTCAGTGTTGTTTTCATCTGCATCTCTCAAATGATCAGTGATGTTGAGCACTTTTTCATATGTTTATTTGCTGCTTTTACTTCTGTGTAGCACATGACACTCTTAACTTTTATACCATTTTAATTTATTTCTAGGTCCTAACTGCCAAAGAAAGAAAAACTCAAATTGATGATAGAAACAAATTGACTGAGCATTTTATTATAACACTTCCTATGTTGTTATCAAAGGTATAGTCTGATTTACAGTTTTGTGATAATATACCACTGAGTTTACTTTTAATATACTATTAAAATAGTTACTGTTTTTTCTTTACTGCTTCTCGTTTTAGTATTCTGCAGATGCGGAAAAGGTAGCAAACTTGCTACAAATTCCACAGTATTTTGATCTAGAAATCTACAGCACAGGTAGAATGGAAAAGGTAAAATTCTGAAATTGAAATTCTACTACCAAAGTAGTTTTATTAGCTGCATTATTTTATTTTCATGTTGTCATATGCCTGTACTTTTTTACTGGGTAGGTCCTGATTTTTGTCATTGTTAAGTATCACAGTTTTTGTTTTCTTTTCCCCCAGCATCTGGATGCTTTGTTAAAACAGATTAAATTTGTTGTGGAGAAACATGTAGAATCAGATGTTCTAGAAGCCTGCAGTAAAACCTATAGCATCTTATGCAGTGAAGAATATACCATCCAGAACAGAGTTGACATAGCTCGGAGCCAGCTGATTGATGAGTTTGTAGACCGGTTCAATCATTCTGTGGAAGACCTGTTGCAAGAGGTCTGTTGTAAAATTAATGTGTTCATATAATAGTTTGGGCTAATAATTACTCAGGATGGCTGAGTGTATAAATGATTTCTGTTTCAAAATAAAACCCAGTAGAACTCTTTAGTCCTTTCAGAAGTTAGAAGCATTATTGCAGCAGTGTATCTTACAAAGATCAATCGTAATAGGTTATTTTTATGCTAAAATTGTTTTCCCCTCTTTCAAGGAAAGTCTAAGGTCTGGTTTTTCTTAACCCTTTTCATGTTCTATTCTGGGACCTACTTTGCATTTTAATGTCACTGAAATATGATGTGCTGATGAATAGAACATACAAATTAAATGTACTATAAGGGATGGATACTCACCTTGAAAGTAGCAAGCTGTACCATTTATTTTTTAAATTATTTCTGGGATAGCTACTTTTTGCTCTCTTCCCAATATATATGGCAATCTGGAATTCTGTAGTTCTCTGTGCACTGACAACTAGGCTGTTTCCTTTCAATTCATGTAACTGATTTTTAAAGGACTTCTTCCTATTATTTGAACATTTCATATTTTTCGAACATTATGGTTTTTCATTATGGAAAATTTCAAATTTTCCAATTACAGATAAAAATGACAATCAGTAAAATCCACCCCTATGGCCCTACTGTACTGGGACTCAAACCCAGGGCCTTCAACATCCCCAGCCCTTTATTTTTTATTTTGAGACAAGGTCTCAATAGGTTGCCCAGGCTAAGTTCAAACTTGACTTCTTCCTGCCTCAGCCTCCCAGAGAACCAGTATTACAAGTGAGTATCACCATGCCCACCTCAGTAAAATCTTGGAAATAATGATTAAAATTTTTCAAGGCAGGAGTATAACACAGTGCTAACGTGTTTACCTAGCATACAAGAAGACCTAGGCTCAAATATCAACTCCACCAATAAAAAAAAAAACAAAGAATTTTAAAATACCTTATCACTCAACAATTTCAAAGAATGTATTCATAGTATTAATTAGAAAAGTGAGCAGTTATGTTTAACACATTTAAATGTATAAATTGTCTATTTCTCGACATTGGGATTATGGTATTTTCTTGTTTATCTACAGTGAATGTGTACTACTTACATAAAGAATTTTTCAGTTAAGTATTAATAGACTTGAATTTAAGCTATGTTAATGAGATGATCTTTATCGTTCACAGGGTGAAGAAGCTGATGATGATGATATTTACAATGTTCTATCCACCTTAAAGCGATTAACTTCTTTCCATAAGTATGTCATTTTACTTAAAAGTAGATCTAGTGAATAGCATATACTAACCAAGATGTACAAAGTGATTGTAATCCTTAATATTCATATAACAGTGGGTAATTTTAGAGAAATATTTAAATATTGTTTTTTTTTCTTTACTGTTCAACGTTTTTTCAGCTGCATTGTTTTATTAAAGTAGAAGATTTATTAATCTAATAATTTAATGTACTATATAACAGATTAGATGAACTTAATTTTTAATTGATGGCTTTAGAAATCTTGACAAATATTGGTGGGGATTTCAAGATGGTCAAGGGATATGAAATTTCAGATAGACAGGAGGAATAAATTCAAGACATCTACAGCTTGATGAGTATAGTTAACACTGTATTACGTTCTTGAAAATTACCGAGAGTAGAAAATAAAGATGATAGAAGGAAAAAGTGAGAAAGGTTTTGTAAGTAAGGAGAGAAGAAAAATCAAGATATCATGCATAGGTATAAATTCCCTATGATGAATGTTTTTATTATATATATGTAAAATGTACCAATAAAATTAATTTTAAAAAGAGAAAATTACTGAGAGTAAATTTTAAGTGTTCTTACCACAGGAAACAAATTAGCTCTATTGAGGCATTCTACCACATACATGTATTTCAGAACAGTGATGGATTTGTTTAAAATGTATTACAAAGAAAGATTAATTATGTATAGAATATGAGCTTAAGTTGACCATGTGATAGATGATTTTTTTGTTGTTGATTTTTTAATCCTAATATTCTATATATATGATAAATTGTATATAATATAATTGTATTGGCGAAAGTAAGTAAATGAAAATGTAGAGGGAAAGCCATAAAACTCAATCCTTTGGGCTTTTATCTTGAGTTGTTCTTACTTGGTTATTGTCACTGTTCTTAATATGTACACAGCACATTTGGATTGAATAAGAAAAATGTGTTTTCTGGGGCTGGGGATTTAGCTCAGTGGTTCCACCGCCTGCCTCAAAAGCACAAGGACCCGAGTTTGATCCCCTGGTACCATAAAAAAAAAAAATGTGTTTTCAAATTGTAATTTGCATATAAGAAAACAGAACTTTGTTATAAAAAGAAAGTTTGATTATTATACTTAGTTAATACTTTACATTTTAAAAGTAGTTTCAGAAATTCAAAGCTTTTAGCCTGTCTTGTAGCACATTCCTCTAATCTCAGCTACTCTGGAGTCTGATGCAGGAGGATCACTTGAGTGCAGGGGTTCACGATTGCCTAGGCACCTGTATGAATGAATGTATCAGTCTAACCATTTTCTTTATACACAAGTAAATCTTTGAAATTCCATGGACAAACTCCTTAAAAAATATTTTCTCATGTGAAGATAAAAGTTGGTAGTTAGTATCAAAAGGAGCATTTTCAGTAGAGTTCATGAGAATTTAAAATCTCATTGAGAAGTCTTCAGCCCATATAAACAGCTATACCACAGTTTTTTTTTAGCATTTCCCTTTTTTTGGAGACATGATGTCAGCTATGTAGTGAGGCTGGCTTCAAACCTACAGTCTTTCTGCCTCACCTTCCTAGTGTCTTTCCTGTATTTCCTTTCCTTTAGTTTTGTCTTCATTTTCTTCATAAACACAAATCTCTTTCTCAAGAAATACATGTGGTCATATGTTTTTAAATCATGAATGGATTTGTTTAAAAAAAGATTTCTCATGTAAAGAATATGAGCTTAAGTTGACCATGTGATACATATTTTATTGTTCTTTTAAAGAATGCCTAATATCAGCTTTTTTATTATTTTTTGTCTCTTCCCCCCACTTGAATATTTTCTTTATTAATCTTTTTCAGTTCTGCAAGGAAACAGTTATTTTGATGTCCTTAATAAAACTGAACTTAAGTTTTCTTCCATTATAGAATATGGTTAATGCATCTTTTATTTATTTTAGTGCTCATGATCTCACAAAATGGGATCTGTTTGGTAATTGCTACAGATTATTGAAGACTGGAATTGAACATGGAGCTATGCCAGAACAGGTAGGGATTTAATGATATTCTTTCTGTGTTATTATAAAAAGATTCCCTGAAATCAGATTATTATCAAAAGCCTTTTATAGTAAGTTGTTGATAATTCTTTAATGCAGCTACCTCCTCTTAGAATTATTTCCATAGAATACCTCTGATAGATACATTCAGGTGTGTTAGAGCAAAAAAAATTAACACATGTTAATTGTACAGATTAATGAGATTCATTGTGATACTTCCATACATACATACATAGAGCGTTTATCATGTCTATCCACTCTTCTTCCACCCTGTCCCCCAGGTAAGTCCCCTTCCTAATCCTTGGTGATCCTACTTTCAGATAGTGCTTTTTTTGTTTGTTTAATTTCTGCATATGGGAAAACACACAATACTGGTCTGTTTCTGGTTTAAGTACTAGTTCTGTGTGTTTTGCTGTAGATGACAGGATTTCATTGTTCTTTATAGCTGAATGATACACCATTGTATATAGACCATATTTTCTTTATCCATTCATCTGTTGGCAAGTACTAGATTGATTTCATATCTTGGCTAATGTGAACAGTGACACAATAAACATGGAAAGGCAGACATCTCTTTTTGAGTGCTGACTTCATTTCTTTCAGATATTTAACCAGGAGTAGATCATATACAAATCTATCTTTAGTTTTTTGAGAAATCTGCATACTGTTTTCCATTGTAGCTGTACTGTTTATTTCTGGGTTCTTTATTTTGTTCCATCGGTCTGTGTGTCCGCTTTTATGCTTTGCTGGTTTTTCGTTTTTGGTTTTGGTTTTTTTTACTGTGGGTCCATAGGATGTCTTGAAATCAGATTCTGTGATGCTGCTAGCTTTGGTCTTTCTGTTCAAGATTGCTTTAGCTATTCAGAATGTTTTATGCTTTCATAGGAATTTTAGGGTTCTGTAAAGATGTCCTTGGTATTTTGGTAGAGAGTGCATTGAATCTGTAGATTGCTTGGATAATATATGGTCATTTTAACAGTATTAGTTTTTGGCAATCAGTCAACATGAGCACTCTTTTAATGTCTTCAGTTTCGTCTATGTTTTATACTTTCCATTGTAGAGGTCTTTCATATCTTTAGGTTTACTCCTAGTATTTTTGCTCCACCCCCTCCCCATGTTATGAACAGGATTGCTTTTCTGATTTCATTCTCAGCAAATTCATTATTGTTGCATAGAAAAGCTACTGGTTGTTGTCTTTTGGTTTTCTATGCTTCTACTTTCTTGACTTCTTTTGTCTATTCTAATCGTCTTTTGGTGGAATTCTTAGGTTTTCATGTGTATAGAATCATATCATCTGCAAACAAGGATAATTTGACCTCCTCTTTTTCTATTTTTATGCTTTGTATTTTTTTCATTTGCCTAATTGGTCTGGCTAAAACCTCTAGTACCATTTTGAGTAAGAGTGGGGACAGCAAGCACCTTTAACTTGTTCTTGATCTTCAAGGAAGTGCTTCCAGTTTTTCCACATTCAGTGTCTTGGCTATGGGTTTGTTATATAAAGCCTTCTTTGCCTTGAGAGGATCATCTTGTTCAGTGCATGTCCATTTTCACTATATTAATCCTTCCTACCCAGGAAGAGGGGCTGTCTGTCCATTTTCTGATATCATCTTCAATCTCTCTTTTCAGAGTGCCATAGTTTTCAGAGAAGAGGTC